TCCCAAAGGCGCGGGATTACAGGCTGAGCCACCGAGCCCGGCTTATTTTTTATTTTTATAGTAGAGACAAGGTCTTGCCAAGTTGCCCACGCTGGTATCCAACTCCTGAGCTCAGATAATCCTCTTGCCTCAACCATGCCCAGCCTTAATTTTGTCCTCCTTTATGACTGCACAATATTCCACCGTGTATATGTACCACATTTTTAAATTTAGTCCACTTTTGATGGGCACCACAGTTGATTTCATGTTTTTGCTATTGTAAATAATGTTGCAATAAACATGCGTGTGCAGGAATCTTTTTTTTTTTTCAGTTGGAGTCTCACTGTGCCGCCCAGGTTGGAGTGCAGTGGCACGCTCACAGCCACCGCAACCTTGACTTGCTGGGCTCATGTGATCCTTCCGCCTCAGTCTTCCTAGGAACTGGAACTACAAGCACGCGCCACCACACATGACTAATTGATTTATTGTAGAGACAAGGTCTCACCAAGTTGTTCAGGCTGATCTTGAACCCCGGGGTTCAGGCAATCCTCTTGCCTCAGCCTCCCAAAGTGTTGGGATTACAGGCAAGAGTCACTACACCCAGGTTATCTTTTTTTATAGAATGATTTGAGTTCCTCCTCTGGGTATATTCCTAGAAGGGGAACTGCTGGGTCACATGGAAGGTCGATTTTTAGATCTTTTAGGAATTGCCACATTGTTTTCCACAGAGGGTGTATTACTTGACATTCCCACCAACCAGTAATCTAGAAGTATTGCCTTTTCCTGGCAGCCTCTCTAGCAGCTGTTGTTTTTTGAGTTATTAATGATGGCCACCCTGATTGGAGTTAGGTGATATCAGTGTGATTTTAATTTGCATTTCTTTGATGATTAGTGAGGTTAAGCATTTTTTCATGTATCTGTTGGTTGCTCGTATGTCTTTTTTTGAGAAGTGTATGAATGCCACTGCACTCCAGTCTGGGCAACAGAGTGAGACCCTATGCAAAAAAAAAAAAAAAAAAAAAAAAAGACTGGAAAGTCAAAATTATTCCTTGATCCATGGGCTACAGAATGGATGTGAGTTAGTAGACATGAAAATAATATTTGTCAGCCAGGCTTGGTGGCTCAGCCTGTAATCCCGTGCCTTGGGAGACTGAGGTGAGTGGATTGCCTGAGCCCGTGGGTTCGAGACCCGCCTGGGCAACTTGGTGAGACCTCATCTCTACAATAAATTAAAAAATTAGCCGGGCGTGGTAGCACGTGCCTGTAGTTCCAGCTACTTGGAAGGCTGAGGCGGAAGGATCGCCAGACTCCAGCAGGTCGAGCCTGCGGTGGCCGGAGCGGCCACTGCACTCCAGTCTGGGCTACAGAGTGAGACTCCAACTCAAAAAAAAAAAAACAAAAGAAAAGAAAAAAGAAAATAACAGTTGTCTCCCTGTATACCTCTATCAGAGTTCTTAGGTAACTATCAACGAGCAGAAAATTTCGAAAGGAATCTTAGATAGAGCTCAACAGCGGACTTAAATATTTAGTAAACCATGCTGTAAACAGATGTGCTATCATATGTGCTGTCATACAGGGTTTGCTGTTCCACTTACAGAGCACAGGCAGCGTAGAATTTGTGTAATTCGTAAGGGCCCTAGGATTTGGGGAATGGTAATAAACACTGGCTTCAACTTCAAGTCACCAGCTACATTAGCTCCTAAGAGCAAGCCTATCCCATGAAGCTTTGAAACTAGGCATTGATTGCTCTAGCGGAAGTCCTAGGATGGCATCTTCTTTCAACAGAAGGCTGATTCGTCTATGTTAAAAATTTTTTGTTTAGTGTAGCTACCATCATCAATTATCTTAGCTAGATCTCTGGATAACTTGTTGCAGCTTCTCCATCAGCACTTGCTGCTCCACCTTGCACTTTTTTTTTTTTTGAGTTGGAGTCTCACTCTGTCGCCCAGACTGGAGTGCAGTGGCCACTCCCGGCCACTGCAGCCTCGACTTGCTGGGCTCCGGCGATCCTTCCGCCTCCGCCTTCCGAGTAGCCGGAATTACAGGCATGTGCTACCACGCCCGGTTGATTTTTTGATTTCTTGTAGAGATGAGGTCTTGCTGCCCAGGTGGGTCTCGAACCTGTGGGCTCAGGCACTTTATGATACACAAATGGCTTTTTCCTTAAACCACACAAGCCTCTGCTAGCTTCCAACTTTTCTTATGCAGCTTCTTCACCACTCTCAGGCTTCACAGAATCGGAGAGTTAGTACCTTGCTCTGGATTAGGTTTTGGCTCAAGGGAATGTTGTAGCTGGTTTGATCTTCTATCCAGATCATTAAAACTTTCTCCATATCAGAAATAAGGCTATTTTGCTTTTTTTTTTTTTTTCCTTTAGAGATGAGGTCTCATCAAGTTGCCTAGGCTGGTCTCGAACCCATGGGCTCAGGCAATCCTCTCACCTAGGTCTCCCATAGTGCTGGGATTATGGCGTGAGCCACCGCACCTGGCCTATTTTGTATTCTTATCATTCATGTGTTCACTGGAGTAGCACTTTTAATTTCCTCCAGTAATTTTTCCTTTGCATTCACAACTTGGCTGTTGAGAACAAGAGGCTTGTCTCAGCTTTTAACATGCCTCCCTCACTAAGCTCAAACTTTTTTTAGCTTTTGATTTAAAGTAAGATATATAACTCCTCCTTTTACTGGAACATCTAGAGGCCACTGTAGGGTTACTAGTTGGCCTAATTTCAGCATTGTTGCAGCTCAGGGATAGAGAGGCACGGGGAGAGGGACAGAGACCAGGGAATGGTGGGTTGGTGGAGCAGTCAGAACACATACAATATTTCTCCATTAAGCTCACCAACTTACATGGGCATGATTTGAGAGGCCTCAAGACAATTACAATAGTAACACCACAGATCGCTTATCAAAGGTCACCCTAACAGATATAAAAACAACAAAAAAGCTTGAAGTATGGAGAGAACTACCAAAAGGTGACACAGAGGCATGAAGTGAGCATGGGTTGTTGATATGAATTGTTTTTACAAATTGAAAAATCAGGGTCTCGAACCCCTGAGCAATTCTCTCAAGCCTGTAGTTTCAGTTACTTGGAAGCTGACGCGGAAAGATTCCCCCCGAGTCTAGCAGGTGGAGGCTGCGGTGGCTGTGAACGTGCCACTGCACTCCAGCCTGGGGAACAGAGTGAGACTGACTCAAAAAAAAAAAAGAAAGAAAAAAAATATCTATTCTATAAAGGTACAAAGTCTGAGCCAAGGCAAACTATCCAGAGATAAAACAAATGAGCTCTAACTATATTGACTATTTCCTTTGGGGTCTTAGCTATATTCTACACCACTGAACTTCCTGGAAAAATGTGCTATTAATTTACAGATGTATTACAAAATAAATTAGTAAATATCAATAAAAGCACAACCAACTCACAATTATTTTACAACACTAAATTCTATATACAATCCATTTCAATAAAATATTTTTTCAACAACATATTTCCTTTGTGCTGATACTGCTTACAGTTTTAAATATTATTTTTCTAAAGCCTCTGAAACACCTCACCAGCTAAAATGTAAAATAACAATGACTAACCAACACCACACAAAACATCATAAGCAACTCTAGTTTTTCGTACTTAACAATTTTGATATAGCTGGGTTTATAGAGACCCATATTAAGGTATGATCATTTCAACTGAACTCATTCAAAAAGCTTCTATATCAACTATAACTAATAAATGTAAAATACTAACTTTAGAGTTTGCATAGCCATGCTTAAGGAATTATAAAGAGATGGTTCTCCATGGCAGGTCATGTCTACAGCTTTCTTCAAAGACATTATATGTTTTCTTGGGTTTCCTAAAACGGAAATAAAATAATGTTCTCTTAATAAAATCCTATAAATACCTTATTAAAAGTTATGCTTCTCCCAAAATTTACATATCTATGTGAAGAACAGAATCCCTTCAATTTATATTTCTGTTGCACTTTTATTGGAAATATTTGGTTGTTTTACTTCATATGAAAAACAAAATACAAATAATCGTTTTATTCATTAACATACACATTTTAAAGTAATATTAACTAGAGTGCATAACTTTTTATTCTTAATATTTTCATATTTCTTCACTGTTAAGACCAATATGCTTTCACATTTTAACATCTTTGAAAGCCACATGTGACTTACAGTCCCTGGTAGACAGGCAGCGTTTGTGACATAGCTGTCATTGCCTGCTCACATGCAAACCTATGAATAACTCTTCATATGTTGTTGCTTCAATTGCATCATGTACACTGTACCATTCATGGTGAGTCTGCCATTTAAAATCTTTTTATAAATGCTACTTTCTTCTCTCATAATATTTCCTAAGTATAATTTCAGGGAATGACCATTTCTATATTTTTCCAAAAAATGTTAAACTAACTTACGAAACTGTAGCACTATAAATACTAGTTTCTCCACGTTTCAGCAAACAGTGTATTGCTTTCAAAACTTAATTTTCCACATTTAAAATATATGAAATAAAATGAATTTTTAACCACTAGGTTTTTTTAATCACTAGTTTGTACACTCTTATTATTATTATTTTTTTGAGTTGGAGTCTCACTCTGTCACCCAGGTTGGAGTGCAGTAGCATGCTCAGGGCCACCCCAGCGTCGACCTGTTGGGCTCCAGCGATCCTTCCACCTCAGCTTTCCAAGTAGCTGGACCTACAGGCGCATGCTACCATGCCCGGCTAATTTTTGATTTATGGTAGAGACAAGGTCTTGTCAAGTTGCCCAGGCTGGTCTCGAACACATGGGCTCAGGCAATCCACTTGCCTTGGCCTCCTAAAGTGCTGGGATTACAGGCTGAGACACCGAGCCCAACCTGTATATTCTTTTTAAAAATCAGTTATTTAGTTTCTGGGTTTTTTTTTTTCCTGGTGTGAATTATTCATCTTCTTCATCTATTCGTCTATCTGGAGCTCCCTAGATTTTTATTATCTAAATTAGTTTAAAAATACTAACCATTTGAAATACTGCAGGTACTTATAGACAGAAAATTTTAAAAATGAAAAGTACCTCACTGATACCAAATCTCTCATTTCATAAGGGAAAAATCTAAACAAGTAAATTGATTTGCCCAAAGACACATGCCCACTTCACTGTAAGACCAGCAGCACCCAAACCTTGATCTTCTGGCTCTTGACCCACTTCTCTTTCTACCATGTCATACAAATGGTTTTTCATCTCCCATTGTGTGGTGAGTACAGGGAAAGAGAATGCTATGTTAAGAAGGTTATGACAGTCGTCTGACTAGAGAAAAGGTGCCTTCAAGAGGCCTCCCAGAATCTTCGATCTTTCTTTTTTTTTGGACAGGGATTCATTCTGTTAGCCAGACTGGAGTACAGTAGCACGATGATAGCTCACCACAGCCTCTAATCCTAGGCTTAAGCAATCTTAATGCCTCGGCCTCATGAACAGCTGGGACCACAGGCATGCACCACCACACCTGGCTAATCTTTCTTTTTTTTTTTTTTGTATAAATGGGTGTCACTCCATTGCCCAGGCTGATCTCAAATTCCCAGGTTCAAGCAATCCTCCCGCCTCAGCCTCCCAAAGTGCTGGCATGAGCCACCACCACGTCTGGCCATTGTTCATCTTTATACATATAACTCCATTAGCATCCAAAAAAAACTGCTATTAATTTAGGGCAGGGCGCCTTGGGAGGCTGAGGTGAGTGGACTGCCTGAGCCTGCGGGTTCGAGACCCGCCTGGGAACTTGGCGAGACCTCATCTCTACAATAAATAAAAAATTAGCCAGGCGTGGTAGCGTGTACCTGTAGTTCTAGCTACTTGGAAGGCTGAGACGGAAGGATCGCCGGAGCCCCAGCAGATCAAGGTTGCAGTGGCCGGGAGCGGCCACTGCCCTCCAGTCTGCGCGACAGAGTGAGATTCCAACTCAAAAAAAAAAAATTTTTAGGGCAGGGGAAGCCAAGAGGAAGGAAGGTTGACTTGACATCCCTTCCTTGGAGCAACTATCCTTTCCCAACTGAATAATAATCCTGCTTAGTCCATTGAGGCTGACCCTGCTTCCATGCTGCTCTGGGCACAGGCACATAATCCAGGCCTACCAACAAAACACTTCACATGCCCTTGGCCATTTGGCTCATGAAAGAGCAGATGGAAGCAGGGATGATAAGAGTCCTCCCTAGATTTTTGTTGAGACTATAGACTCTGAGGACCACATAGACCTGGCGCTGTCAATAGACATCTTTTCGCCTCCCAGAAAACCTACCAGAAAATGAAGCCAAAGATAGGACTCCTGGAACCAACTATACATAAAATCAGCCCACCTTTGAACATAAGTCAATAATTTTCCTTTTGGCACTTGAGCTAGTTTATTTATTTATTTATTTTTGGTCTACACAACTGAGTTTCATGGATCACTCCAGGCTAATGTACATTTCACACCTTACTGCCATAACGAAAAACTGTTAATGAAGAAAGTATGCCATTTCCCTTATGTGTGTTGGCAAGAATAAAAGGTTAGAGTACTCTAGAATAAAGGACTAGAGTATTTCACAGAAAATAGAATAGAATCAGTGATGTAAGTCTGCAACAGCATATAAATCAAAGCAAATTAAAACTAACACTACTATCTTTTGAGACTAAAATTCAGTTAGGCTTACCATGCAAGCAAAAAAGATTCATTAACAATAATTACAACTTGATTTCATACTTTTTGCTTTTTAAATTATACGTCTAACTTTTTAAGAATTTAAATATTCACTGGGTTTTATGTATGGTTACAATAATTTTATCTTAATCTTTTCAGGATAAACATTTACAGATCTTAAACAAATACATTTATGTTCAATGTAATACTATTCATCATATGCAGAACTCAACTTAAGAACAGTTACCTTAGATCCCAAGAGTTTAATGGTGAGGGAGGTGTTATTAAGTTGTTTCACCTAGAGAGCACAGAAGAAGCTTGCACTTTACTTATTAAACAGCCATATAAACGGGGTTACAAGGCTGGGTAAATAAAGCAAAGTCCTTGAGTCATGTAAAGGTAATTTTATGCATACCTGAGAGTTCAGTCAGCTTTTCAGCTCTTTTACTCTTAGTTACAATTATTCCAATCTCAAAATAAAAACAAAAATTATTATTAATTAAATATAACAAATGATTTCGTCTTGATAAGAATTTATATAACTATTCCTGCAGATCATATTGGGACAGGAAAAAAGGAATTTATATAACAATAAATTAATAACTACCAAAGAAAGACGCAACATGTGAGAAATATTTTCCCAAGGTGTGGTTTTATATTTGTTTTTGTTTTGACTCGGGGTCACACTCTGTCACCCAGGTTGGAGTGCACGGCATGATCATGGCTTACCACAGCCTCAAACTCCTGGGCTCAAGCAATCCTCCCACTTCAGCCTCCCGAGTAGCTGGGACTACAGGGGCATACCACCACACCTAGCTAATTTTTTGATCTTATGTAGAGACAAGGTCTCACTATTTAGCCTAGGCTGGTCTCAAACTCCTGGGCTCAAGCTACCCTCCTGCCTCAACCTCCCAAAGTGCTGGGATTACAGGCATGAGCCACTGCTCCCAGCCTTAAGGTGTTTTTCACAAATAAATTTACCTGTGAGTTCACTGCACACTGTTTAAGTTTTAGAGTTCATATGCTCGTACACAATCTAGATCACTAAGTCGCAGAATATATGCCCAATTTAAAAAAACAGAGAATCAGCAAAACAGAAATCTAATTCTGAATGCTATCACTTATATACATACCTGACTAATAGGATTTTGATCAAAATATTCCTCTACGAAGTATTCCAACAACTTTAAAGAAAAAAAAAATACTAGATAAGGGCAAAATATCAACCATATACACATCCAATTTTGTGAAATGTATTTATTTATTTTTTTGAGGAGTTGGAGTCTCATTCTTCATCCAGGCTGGAGTGCAGTGGCCGCTCCCGGCCACCGCAGCCTCGACCTGCTGGGCTCCAGGGATCCTTCCGCCTCAGCCTTCCAAGTAGCTGGAACTACAGGTGCGCGCTACTACGCCCGGCTAATTTTTGATTTATTGTAGAGATGAGGTCTCGTCAAGTTGCCCAGGCGGGTCTCAAACCCGCGGGCTCAGGCAATCCACTCACCTTGGCCTCCCAAAGTGCTGGGATTATAGGCTGAGCCACCGAGCCCGGCCATGAAATCTATTTATTAAGCATCACTCATCATAATTTTTAAGCTTATACATCTCAAAAAAATGAAGCAGTAAAAATATTAAATAGTAAAAACCTTAATTTTAAATAGTGAGTGATGAGATAGATTTGGTCTAGGTTTTAAAAGATGGAGCCATTTGGATATGTCAGAAAAAAATCTAAACAAGGAGAAGATTCAATGAAGAGAGAAATGAAGGAATGAGCAGAACTGAGGATAGGTTTTAATAAATTAAGGATAATATGAATGTGTTTATAAGCTGAGGATATGAACTTAAGTAAGTCAAAAGAGAATGAGGCTTCAATAAAGAAGAGGGATAAGTGACAAAACAAGATCATGACATGGCGTGGGAGGGCGGAAATCAAAGACACAAATAATTAGCTACATGGGTCTATCATTTCCCTAAATGATGTGGCCGTATTTCTACTTGGTTATCATTTATATTAAAACACAGAGTGTTCGAGACCTGGGCAGCGAGACCTCATCTCTACAATAAATCAAAAAATCAGCCGGGCGTGGTAGCGCATGCCTGTAATTCCGGCTACTCAGAAGGCTGAGGCGGAAGGATTGTTGGAGCCCAGCAGGCGAGGCTGCAGTGGCCGGGAGCGACCACTGTACTCCAGTCTGGGCGTCCGAGTGAGACACCAGCTCAAAAAAAAAAAAACACAGAGTGAAACAAAACCTACTTCAGTCTTACAAAAATGTTCTTTAGAATTCAGTGTTTTTCCCCATATTTAATAAAACTTCAAATGATTTTAGTATACACTTAAATGACTTAGCATAAATTTAAATGATACCTTTAAAGTACACGTCAGTCTGTTAGGCTTTAAGTCTTGGTCTTCCATTGTTCTCGATCCATCTACTACCATATAAAGGTGTCGCATCTACCAGAAAAAAAGGGGACAATTTTCAAGCACCTTTTTCACTAAGAAGCAAAAATGGCATTTAATAGTTACATGTTCTATGCATCTATTTTGAGCACATTCTTTTTTAAAGTTTGTTATTTATTATTGTTTATTCTATCAAGCCAGAATGTTTCTCTAATCCAAACTAGTCTGTGCCAGTAAAAGAAAAAATAAGAACATACCATTCCAAGTCGAACTTGTCCATGGTGCTCAAATACTCTGTTAAAATTATACAAATATTTTAATGGAATACCATATACAGTTCTCAAAAAAAATCAACACAACTTTCCAATTAACCTGTACCTTTTAGTGAAATCAATTATTAACTTATAAAACACACATAATTATAGGCATTGTGGATAATCCCTGCAGACCATTCCCCGCTGAGGCAAGGATTGGTGGCTAGTTCTTTCCCCACATTCAGAACACTACAGGACAGTTTCCCTGAAACATAGCTGAAGTGAAGTACTGAGGAGTCCTTCTAGATGGACAGAAAGATTTAAAGGGGCATATTTTACCTTTTAATACACATAAGAAGAGGTTGCATACCTTTTTCTTTTTGCCTTGAACAGAATGTCTTCTATTGTAGCTTTAAGTGATCCAGATTCATCTTCTTTAAGAATCTCCCTATACACAATAATTATTTGTTTGAAAAGATAGACTAAAATGATTATGATCCCAAACAAAATGAAAACATGTCCACACAAAGATCTGCATGTGAGTGTTCAAGGGAGGATTAATCCTAATAGCAAAAAAATTGCAGACATACACTTGTCTAGAGATGCCTGGAAATGTATAAAATTGAACTACATTTCTTTTTTTTTTTTTTTTTTTTGAGTTGGAGTCTCACTCCGTTGCCCCAACGGGAGTGCAGTGGCATGCTCCCGGCCACCACAGCCTCGACTTGCTGGGCTCAAGTGATCCTTCCGCTTCAGCCTTCCAAGTAGCCGGAACTACAGGCACGCGCTACCACGCCTGGCTCATTTTTGATTTGTTGTAGAGATGAGGTCTCGCCAAGTGGCCCGGGTGGGTCTCGAACCCACGGGCTCAGTCAATCCACTCACCTCGGCCTCCCAAAATGCAGGGATTATAGGCTGAGCCACCTAGCCCAGCTGAACTACATTTCTTAGAGTGTTTTACTATAGATCAGTCTCATGGGCCATCTTTTTCCTCAGATGCAAATGATATCTGGTTACGTTACATGGAAGAAAGCGAACATTTTAAAACTAAAAACAAAAAAAACCTGTAAACAACCTAAATGTCCATCAATTGGTGAATGGATAGACAAAAATGTAGTAAAACCATACACTGGAATACAAGTCAGCAGCAGAAAAAGGAAAGAAGTATTAATACACACTACAACACGGATGAGAGTTGAGAACAATTAAGTGAAAGCCAGAGAAAACAGACTACATATTATAGTCATGCATTACTTAACGAGATATGCATCATTAGGCAATTTCATCACTGTGCAAACATCTTGGAGTGTATTTACATAAACCCAGATGGTACAGTCTACCACACATCTTGACTATAAGCCTGTACAGCATGTTAATATACTGAACATATCAGGCAACTGTAACACAATGGCCAGTATTTGCATATCAAAACATAAGTAAACACAGAAATTGTAACACAATGGTCAGTATTTGTATATCAAAACATAAGTAAACACAGAAAAGGCACAATCAAAATATGGTATTATACTCTTCTGGAACCACATCACATACATGTCTAGTTGTTGACTCAAACATCATTATGTGGCACAGAACTGTATATGACTACATTTACATGAAATATCCAGAAAAGGCAAATCTACAAAGACGGAAAGTAGACTAATGGTTGTCTCTGGATGGAGGTAGAATGAAATTAATTGTAAATGGCCATGAAGGATCTTCCTGGAATGGTTAGACGGTTCTAAAACTGGTTTATGGTGATGATTTGCACAGCTCAGCAAACCTTCTAAAAAATCACTGAATTGTAAGTTGGAAATGGGTGAATTTCAACAAATGTATACTTCAATAAAGTTGCAAAAAAATCAATGACTTAAAGACAAGAGAACAACAGTGATCTCCTTACCATGTTCTTTCATAGCCTCCTTCCCATCGCTTGGTTCTTTCAGGTTCTTCATCCATTTTTTAAAAATGTATTTTATTATTCAATAATCTGTGGAAACCATTAGATCATACATTTTCTAAATATATTTGCTACAAAATGCATCCAATTAAATTTGAAAATTAAAAAATAAACATATAAAGTTTCAAAAACAATGCTAGTTCATGTTATTCTATGTAGTTTATTCAATAATTGTTGTTAAATAAAAATACAAACTCCTCATAGAACTCTTCTTCCCATTTCCAAGAAGGAATATAAATATGTATAAGCTTGGCACCAACAAAGATAAGCATTTTTTATTACAATTTGTAAAAAAAACACAAAAATGTGGCCAGGCTCGGTGGCTCAGTCTGTCATCCCAGCACTTTGGGAGGCCAAGGCGAGTGGATTGCCTGAGCCCGCGGGTTTGAGACCCGCCCAGGCAACTTGGTGAGACTCGTCTCTACAATAAATCAAAAATTAGCCGGGCATGGTAACGAATGCCTGTAGTTCCAACTACTTGGAAGACTGAGACGGAAGGATCGCCGGAGCCCAGCAGGTCGAGGCTGCGGTGGCCAGGAGCGTGCCACTGCACTTCAACCTGGGCAACAGAGTGAGACTCCAACTCAAAAAAAAATCAACAACAACAAAAAACAAACAAAAACGCTTTATAGATGTGTCACAGCGCAGACCACAGAATTATAGCAAGTGAGTATAGGTGGAGCTAAAACAAGGTTAGCCACTATTGATGACTATACAGCTGAGTGATACATATATGGCGAATCTCTCACCTTTGTGTACGTCTGAATTTTCTCATAAACAAGTTTTTCAATGTCATTTATTATTTTAAAATGTGTAAATGCATTTGCCTCACGATTCAAAAACAAGACGCGATAAAAAAGATACCTGCACACGTATGTTTATCACAGCATTGCTCACAATAGCAAGAACCTGGAATCAACCATACTGTCCATCAA